GAAAGTCTTACAAAGTATATCTTTAAATTTGTATTTGTGAGGATACTCCAATGGAACAATGAATACAAGCCCAGAGCTTGGAGCCTTGGCTCACAGGCAGTCCCCTGTTCCCACTGCTAGCCCAGAACTAGTTCTTGGCCGATTCCATCCCTGTTCCTAGCCCCATCCAGGCCCTTGTCTCACCCCTGCCCCAAGACCAGGAACTGCATGTAGGTCACATGGGTTGGGGAAGAGACCCTGGAGCCCACATCTGCCCTTGATCCTCCAATTCTTGGGTGGGATCTCTGGTGGGCCATGGGGACGTCAGGTACATGTCCCATACCATCTCAGGGAGGATCTGGCAGCAGCAAGGCACAGTCAACAAGCAGCTTGGGAGGAGCTTCTTACCCACCCCCAATCCAGATACAGAGAACTTCTCAGCCTGGAGGTTAGAAGCCCTCAGGATTCCCAGTCTAGAGGTTGCTGTGAGTTGGGGAACAAACTTTTAGGAAGAGTAGGTTGATTTCTATATCCATGTCTGGGGTCCTGCTTTATCAATTTGTTCTAGGCTCCACAAATTATGTAGTTGGCCACAGAATCTTTCCCCTTAACCCAGCTTCTCTCCCTGTTTTTGACAAAGGCATTACCCATCCCCAAATCTCTCTGGTTTAGTTAGAATCTCTAAGTTATCACTATCTTCCTCTTGTCTTTACCCAAATCCACTCCTGCAGGCCATCTCCCATCTGTCCCCGGCTTCCTAGTCCCATTGTTCTCTCTTCAGTTTAGTTGTTCATGATGGTTCCACCAAACCAGCAAAATACACTCCTAGTTGTTTTCATAGTTTTGAGCCTCTCCCTATTGAATCCATTCAGCCACTCCCACCATGTTACCCCAAACACCACTTTGATCATGTTAAGATGTTTAGGGTAAGTGAACGTCAAACTTTTTTTGTTTTGTTTTGTTTTTTGAACTTCAAACTCTTTAGCCAGACATTCAAGCTCCATCCTTCTTTTGCTCTCACCTTACTTTTGCATATTCATAACACCTGCTGTAACTTGTCCAAATTAAACTACTCACTGTCCTCTGTACATATTTTGTGCGTGGTCATCACTATGTCTGTGCTGAAGCCATCTTGCTATACCGAGATCATCTTCCCCTCCCCCAGCAACTATCTCCAGTTGGGAAATCTAACCCTCTTTATGGTTTTGTGGCACCCCCTCCAGGAAGCCTATCATCCTGAGTCCAGTCGCAAAGTGACTCCATTTTCCTCCAAAACTATACCATTTAGTTTTTGCCATTCATTAAGTACTGCTTTGTGCTAGTTGTTTGTTGTTTGTGTTGCATACAGGCCTCAACTATAAGTACTTGGAAAGCAAGAAGTATGTTCTCTCAACTTTGAATGTTCCTAAGCCCCCTGCCTTGGGTAGAACATGGGCTTAGGTATAACAGGTTCTGAGCACATGTTCATTGGAACTAATGAATAAATGAATCTGTTGTGTAAATAGACCAGGTCTTCTGAAAGCCTGGCACACCTGTAACCCTTCTGCGTCATCCCTTTTCCTCCTCTCAGTTCACCTAACAAAACATCCTGCTGCTTTTCATACCCAAGCCCATCAAACACCTGTATCATCATTATCAACACTAACAAAAATTCATCTCACACTTTTTATTAATGTTTAAAGTGCTATATTCTGAATGCTTAGGATAATCTCAAAGGGAACACCTGTTACTTGAGTGCTCCTATTTTCAACCTCTTGAGGGCAATTTTTTCATTACTATATTAAAGTGGGCTGTTTAATAACTTATAACTGTCAGAGAAAAAAAGGTAAATTGCAGTCACCATGGTCCATGTTGGATACCTAAAATAAATGAGGTTTTTCCCCACTTGCAATTCTTTATTTTTCTCCTAATGTCAAGTCTGTTTTTTAGAACTAATTGCAGAAAGTAATGCAAAATAATGAAATAAACTGAGGTATTTTTGCTGTCCAAACTTTTATTCAACTTTAACATTTCATTAAACATCATAACTTCAAAAGTATCTTCCGTGACTTTCTCTTGCCCACATTACAATCCCCCCCAAAAGATCATAAGTGTAATTGCCAAAAGATTAAAATCTAAAACTCCATGTAATTAAAATGTCACCTCCTAAAGGAATAAAAATACACTAGATGGATCTAAGCCAGAAACACCTTTAAGATATAGTAGTTAACAAAGAATCAGGAAGTCATTTTAACATAGAAACTCCAAGATATTTCTTTATGTATGCTAACAATTAAAATAATATCATGATAAAAGAACATGCATTTAGAAGGTTGTCACTTTTCACTAAGAGAAATCTGTAATAGCAAGCAATGGAAAGGATGGGGTAAATACTTGAATTGGGGGAGAGTGCAACATTAATAGAACCCTATAAAAAGTTTATATTGCATGAGTTATTACTAACAGGAACAAAGTGTCCAATTTTTGATAGGCTAGGCCAGGCTATCAGGTGTGGTTACCAACCACATTTAGGGGAATTTTAAGAAAAGTGTGAAAGGACAGATATTTCTATATTCCTTGAATATAAATCTGGTTCTAAATTATTTAATTTAAAGATGGAGCATGGGTCAGCAAAAGATTAGGCTGGCAGTCAAAACGTGTGGAGTTCACATTTCAGTCCCAAATAAGGAGAAAAACAATTGGAAACTGTTACCATATTCTGGGTATTTACAATGTATCTGGTATTGTTGGGGGGGCTTGAAGGCAATATCTTATTTTATTTTCACAGCAATCATCTTTGCTAGCTAGGTATTATTATTCCCATTTTCCCAGTAAGGAAAGTGAGACACCAAGAGATTAAGAAATCCTCCTCGGGTCATAGTCATGGTGACTGTGGTGTATCATAATAAAGAAAAAACCATAGTTTTATCAAAGAAGAGTAGCCTAAGTAAGACGAAGAAAAATACACCAAACTAAAAACACAGAAATATATCGTGGAAGCTGAAGGAGAAAGAAAAGAGAAACTTTAAAACAAGAAATGAAAACGAAGTAAACCAAGATCCGATCTTCCCAACCTGTGCACCATCCCTCCCCTCCCTGCCCTTTGTCGGTCCTTCCAACATCTCAGTCTTTTTCACAGCCATCCTTACTACCCTGGGTGGGGAAAACAAAACAAAACTCCCTTTTCCCAGTGCCAGCTTCTAAATATTGAAAGGCAACTTTGCTTTATCCTCTGTCTGCAGACTGAGGGGAGAGCCCACAGGAAGCAACAGCTGCTGAAAACCTGATTTTCTGTGCCTGCAATGAGACATAAGGCCACATTCTAGGCAGCAGGAAGATGAGTTCACTGCTGAAGAGGCAGAGAATTATGCTCTTGAAGGAAAGACAGTATATGAGCCGTATTAAATAAAAATTAGGAGCTGAAAGAGGATAGTAGGAAATAAAAGCTATAGAAGTAGGAGAAAATCAGTTGAGGATGAACAAGAAAAGTAAAGGCCATACAGAAAAAAGACTTCCATTTCAGGACATAAGTCTTATCCAAGAAGGAAGGGATTTTTTTTTTTTTTTGCCCAAACACACAATCAGGATATGGAAATAAAACAAGAAAGAAAATAATTTGTGATTGTTCACCAATCTTTTACAGAATCTTCAAAATATAATTCTTTTCTTTATCCCCTGGTCTTCTAGAATTGTAGAGATATAAAGAATCAGACACTTGTGGACAACTATTCATTGGTTGTTTGACCTAAACCTGCTGAGGTCTCCAAGAAGGATATAGTAAACAATGCACTTAATCAATAACAAACGGTTAATGAAAACAGTACTTTGACAGGCATCCTTTAATATGAGAGTGTTGACACTCATCTCACAAAATTAGGAAACTTGGTTTTAGAGATAACCGGCTCATTTTCTATGCAAAACTTCAACTTTCAGATGACATAGATAAAATTTTACCATTAGAGTCCTCCCCACCACTTTTGCTATTCTGAACATCAACAATCAAACTGGAGAAAAACACACAGCTCACGAGACTGCCGAAGAAGTACTCACCCAACCACCACACGACTTTCATGACTAAGTGTAAGAACTTTCCCTTCTTATGAACCCCGAAGAAGTCTCTTAAAAAGTGGCATCTAGTTTCAGCACATGCAGTCCATAAATATGGAAGACATTAGAACTGACTGGTTTTCAGATCCAGCATCTAACATCAAGTTCAAATCACTATGAAATTGAAAGAAAAGCCAGGCAATTCCTGTTTCCTTTTTTACCTTGAAACTAGAATGTTTACCCCACTGACTGGCTTTGGAGCTACTAAAAATTTGTCAATTTTGAAAACTTTTGGGTTTTTTGTCTTTCTAATAACCTGAAATTTCAGCTCCAAAATATCAATTGTTTTTCTTTCACAAACTAAAAACATGCTTGCTCAATCCCACCAAAAGTTAACTACAACTGCTATATTCAAGCCTAGACATAACTAACTCCTCTGTTTGTTCAAACTATGTAACCTCAACAGGAAAAACAGTTAAAATAGGATCCTAAGAGGCACAAATGGGTCAGAGGCCCATTCTTCCCCTGAAATTCCTCTTCTCTTCCTTGGAACTCATGCAGCTTTAAGCTACAGAAGAGGCCAGGGAGGTACCTCAGCATTTAGTTCCCTTTCTAACCTTGAATTAGAGAATGAAAATGTATTATGGTCCTACATCAGAGATGCCAAAGTGCCTATTTTCATCAGACTAACACTGGAATTCTAGGGTAGACATCTTTTTCTAGCAACTCACAAATGCATTCTAAAACCCTACACTGATACTCTTAAAGTATCTTGACAGAAACACATGATATTATTGGGTGATACATGAATTTTCCCATAAGTCACTGTGTGTTAAGAAAGGATCATTACATTTAAACTCAAGAAGGAATTTACATAGCAAGATTTGTATTGTAAAGAGCCTAAAGTAATGTGTTCCTGGATGCCAAAAGGTAATCAAAGGCTTGGACCCCAAGCCAGGGGAGCTCTGGGAGAAGAGGACGATTGCCAGTCCTACCTGGTAGGCATCAGGAATGTTGACGGTTTCTCCATGCTCCCCGACATAGCCAATGATACCTTTGCCCCAGGGGACCTGCACCTCATTTGAGTTCTCTGTGCTGCTGCTGGGCAACAGGGGGGTTCCTGCATGCACATCAAAGAATTTGGAGACCAAGCTCTTCTTGCCAGCAGCTGCCCCTTCCACCAGGAAGAGAGAACAGCGGTCAGCGTCCACCATGAGGCAGACAAAGATGAGGATCTTGTAGCTTAAGCTGGTGAGGTCGAGGTCATTGGAGATGTCCTTGACCAGTTCCAGGAAGAATTGACGCTCATTGTGCTTTTTGAGGTGGCACTTGTAGTCCATGGCTGTTGGGGGATACTGAGGCAGATTCACCCTTGATTCCAGCAGGGCACTGAGGATGTGGGCTGTGGTGGGGGGCAGGGAGCTGGCCTTCCGGAGAAGGGCTCTCCGTCGTACACTGCTCAGGGGCTCCTGGGCCCGGGAGGTCACCTGTTCATCGTAGGTCCTGTTGACATGGATGGCCTTGGAGCGGGCAAAGCTCTTCCTCAGTTCTTTCTGAGAAGCTTTCCGCTGCAGGCTCCCATCACCGCGGCTGCCACCAGCCCAGCTGGGACTCAGGGGTCCCGCTCCACAGTCCATGCCACTGGGGGCGGGTTGACAGTTGACAGCGCCATTCGGTCCAGTGCCACCACCAACGCTGCCACCACCTCTTCCAGTGCCATGAGCCGAGCTGCTGGTGCCACCCGAAGCGGCCCTTGGGCCTGAAGCCCCCTGGCCCTGACTGTGCCTCTGCAGCCACTTCTGGACCATCTCCTGCTTCCCCTTCCGCATCAAGTAATCTTCAAACAACTCCGGGTGCCTGTCCAGGAAAGTTTCCACCTCCCCGAAGTCCAGCCCAGAGGCCGTCATGGTCCCGGCAGAGCTTTCCTAGCTTCTTTACACTTGGACCACGTGTCACCCTGCCCGAGGCCTCTAGCTGCTCCGGCACATGTTCACCCCACCAGGCTTCCCAGCTCGTTGCCACCTCGCCAGCCGGCGGAGATTATTCCCAGCGGTGGAATCTCGGCTGGGAGGTGCCCCCTCCTTCCCTGGCTCAGAGTGGCTGGCGCCAACTTCCCCCTCGCCCCCTACTCCGGGTCCGCTCAGGTGCCCGGCGCTGAGCCCCGCGCTGAGCTGCCGCCGCGGCCACCGCTCGGGTCCCGGGAACCTGGCGCTCTGGCTGTTCTCGCTCTGGCTGCCGCCGCCGCCACTCCTGCTGCTGTAACCGGATGAGTGGACCACTGTGACAGGGAGGTAGGGCAGGACACGCCCCTGAGCGAGGCACCGAGCCCGGAGGGGGGCGGGCGCGGGAGGAGGGAGCCGCGGACGCCAGACCAGCCAAAGTCCACGGCCCAGGATGCCAGGCGGTTCCTGGAAGCGTCTCCGGACGGCCGGAACCGGCGGGGACCACGGCCGAGTGCTGCTTGGAACACGATTAGAAGAGGACGCACACCTCGTTCCTCCCGCTCCTTCCTTCCTCACCTCCCCGGCCCTCCCGACTCCGTCCCTTAATCCGCTAGCGGTTCTCGGAGGCCCCGCGGGAGCCCGAGGAAGTGTTGACGTCTCGCAGAGATCCGAACCCAGAGGCGGACTCGGAGGAAATTAGGGTTCTCAGAGACAGGCAGGGTTATTTTTCTGGGATGTGACTGTGGATTGTGGGTTCCCAGGATTCCAGGGATTGCCCGCTAACACTGCCTAGCACTGTGGGCGTTCAGTAAATATTAACGGAATTGAATTTCCCTGAAATTGGCGAATGAAGTTCCCTATGTGAGCAATTCGTTACTTTAACCAAATTCACGGACCTGGGGCGGGGGGGAGGTTACCTGGAGGAAGAGTGTGACACGCAGGACACTCCTCCCTCCCTCTGTACCAGAATTGGTTCAGGACCCCTGCAGATACCGAAATCCACAGCTGCTCAAGTCCTCAACATAAAACTGTGTGGTATTTGCATATAACCTGCGCACAGCCTCCTCTGTACTTTAAATTATCTCCAGTTTACTTCTATCTAATACCATGTAAATGCTATGTAAATACTTTCATGCTGTATCGTTTGGGGAATAATGACAAGAAAAGAATCTCTGCACATGTTCAGGATGGAGGCAACCGTCCATTTTTATCTTCCCAGTATTTACCATCAGACCTGGATTGAATCCACAGGTGACAAACCCATGGATGCCCAGGCCAACCGTACTTGGATTAAAGAGACCTTGTCTAGCAGGAGTCTATAGCAAAGTGGACCTGGGAGTCTCAGGGGCTTCTTTCCAGCTGGCCCTACTTACTAGGTAGTTTCTCCTCCTTTTATGAATAACTTGCTCTCTCCTCCTACTTCCCCTGCTCAGTACCACATGGCCACCAAGGCTGCCTTTACAGCCAATGCCGTCCTGGAGCTAGCCAGTAAGGTGTCACCCCTGTGGGAGGCCTTTCTTTCTCCTGCCCTGGGGAGCTGGAGAAAGCCTCTCTCCTGGTTCCTGGTAATCTTTCTCTCCCTCTTCCCCTTAGGTCTAGGGGAGGTGACTTTTCTGCTGCCTTGAGCTCCAGCTTTCTTCATTGTGGAGAATTTTACGGACACTCACAGGTGACTTACACAGTAAGTAAAGCTTACTCTGGGAAGATGGCATCAAGCTGAGCACACAAGGTGCATCGAGCACTTGTTGTGTGCTGATAAATTTAAGCAAATCCATTAATTTAATCTTCACAAACAAACCTATAAGGTGGAGACGTCTCCCATTTCAAAGATGGGGAAACTCTGAGAAACTGAGCAGTTTATCCAAGGCCAGCAGTAAGCAGTGCCAGAACTGCGGTACAGATCCATTTAGTTTGGCTCTAGAGTGAGACTCTGAGCAACATCACTGGATTATCTCCCACCTCTGTTAGCTGAGTCCTATCTGTGTTCGGATTTGAGCCAGTAACAGAGATGCAGGGACTGAGGTAGACTGTCCTTTAAACATTCCTCTGACATCACCAGAAGGACTAGGGAGAGGAAGAGAGACACTTGTTTGAACATTCCAAACTTCCCAGCTTACTCAGCACGGCCAAGGGCGTGGGCTTGGCGCTGGATTCAAATATGAACAAAACAAAGACTCTGCCTTCCAGACAGCCAGCAAACAAATAAGAAAAATGTATATAGTACAAGAAAGTTAGTGATAAGTGGCATGAAGAAAAATAAAGCTTGGCCACATAATAGATAGAGGGGTGAGGTGGTCACCTGAGTAGAAATCTTTGGTGGAGGGGCCACCTGAGTAGAAATCAGGTGGAAATGGGGCAATGTACTTTGTTGATATGTGGCAAAAAGACTGCACCAAGTAGAGGAAGGTAGTGCTAAAGTTGGGAGGTATAATGTGTTTGAAGTATCTAAGAAACAGTAGATAGACCAGCTGGGGACATGAGCACACAATACTCCTAGTCTGGAGTGTCTGGCTGCCACAAAGGTGAGTGGTGGTCAAGCATTAACTAAAGAAAAATTGCTTAGCACAGTGCCTAGCACATAGAGTGTTTGAGAAATGTTAGCTGTTGTATTACTTCTATTATTATCATGATTATTATCCCAAAGTAATATTGCATGGAAATCTCACCACATGTGGCCACATCTCCAGTCACTGGAGTGATCAGATGGCTAATGGCACACTAGAATTGGCTAGTAAGGACTCACAAGCGCCTATTACAGCTTCTTCTTCCAGTTCTGTGTTCAGTCACATCATGAAGCTTGCAGTTGGCCACTATGGGAACGTTTACACCACAGAAATCAACAAATGTTACGAGTTTTTTTTTTTTTTAGTAGATTGCTAATTGTTAAACATTTATGAATATTCAGTGGAAATAATCCAAATGTCCATTAGCTGATGAAGGGATAAATAAAATGTATTATAACCCTACCTCTGAATATTACTTGGCCATAAAATAGAATGACGTACTGATACATGCTACCACTTGAATGAACCTTAAAAACATCACTCAAAGTGGCTTGGTGCCTGTAGCTCAGTGGCTAGGGCACCAGCCACATACACCAGAGCTGGCAGGGTCAAACCCAGCCTGAGCCTGCCAAACAATAATGACAACTACAACAGCAATGGAAAAAATAGCTGGGCATTGTGGTGGGTGCCTATAGATTCAGCTCCTTGGGAGGCTGAGGGAAAGAATCATTTAAGCCCAAGAGTTGGAGGTTGCTATGAGTTGTGACGCCATGGCACTCTACCCAGGGTGACAAAATGAGACTGTCTCAAAAAAAAAAAAAAAAATCACACAAAGTGAAAGAAGCTACTCACGAGGGACCACATATTGTACAATTTTATTTATATAATATGCTCCCAAAAAGCAAGTCCATAGAAAGAAAGATTACTTTCTAGACGGAGAGTAAAGGGGGTGGCTGCCAGTATATCTGAGTTGTTAGGGGGTAGTGCGTAATGCAAATGTTCTAAAACTCATGATGGTGATGGTTGCACAATTTGTGAATATGTTACAATTCACTGAATTGTACACTTTAAGTGGGTAAATTATATGGTATGTGAATTCTATCTCAATAAAGCTATTACAAAACAATAACAACAATGATAGAGAACAATTTACTAGCATAAGACTGGGGATAGTACAGCAGCAGTGTTGTGCATGGAGACAGGAAGTGAGGCAATGAGCTGTCCTCTCATCCTCAGGGAAGGGAGAGAAGCCGGCTAGCCCTGGGATGCCTAGAACGTTTATAAGTGGACATTTCCTTAATTCCATCTTTCATGTGTTTGTTATACAAGCAGCCATTTAGCATTTATAGTTCCAGGCTCTGGGGACAAAAGACCAAGAGGAAACCTCTGCTCTTGATTGAGGAGCTCACAGTCTACAGCACCCAGGGAAGTGAGAGTGGGAAACAAGACCCGGAGATGGGAAAGCCATAGGAAAGAGATCTGGGGAGACAAGTTCAGCACTTTGGGCTTGATTTGAGTCTGCTGTAGCCAGGTTCTCTGCTTGGGACATGAAATCACTAAAGGTGGGGAAGAATGGTTCGTGATTGGTGAGGAGAGGGAGCAGGTGACAGAGAGGACACTTAAGCTAGTCCAGAGGGCTGTGACAGAGGGCTGCATAATTAGATGTGTACTGATGTAGACCCAATTGCCATTTCCTCCTCACTTTTCATCTCTAGAACATGTATTAGTGATCATCTCCATAGGAAAGAGAGAACACTCAAATTAAATTTAAAGACGGTTAATTCACACTCGGTGCCTATAGCACAGTGGTTACAGCGCCAGCCACACACACTGAGGCTGGTGGGTTCAAGCTAAATAACAATTGCAACTGCAACAAAAAATAGCCAGGCATTGTGGCAGGTGCCTGTAGCTACTTGGGAAGCTGAGGCAAGAGAATCACTTGAGCCCAAGAGTTTGAGGTTGCTGTGAGCTGTGATGCCACAGCACTCTACTAAGGCCAACAGCTTGAGGCTCTGACTTAAAAAAAAAAGTTAATTCATATTTTTACTGTTTTATTTTTTATTTCAGATCAATGAGGGTACAGATGATTAGGTTACATTGTATACGTTAGGTAGAACCCAAGTCGTAGTTGTGCCCCTCACCCAGGAGGTGTGCCCTGTACCCTTACATTATGCCTGTTTGATGAGAGCACACCAACTCCACCTTCCTCCCCTCTCCCTGATTCTCCTCCCCTTCCTCCCACTTCAGTTTAATCATGTTTTCCTCTTGTGTGGCATGTATTTGTTCATCTATTTATTTCATATTAGTATCGAGTACATTAGATACTTGGTTTTCCATTCTTATGATATCTTCCTAAGTAGAATTTTCTCCAACTCCATCCAGGATAACAAAAGATGTAAAATCTCCATCTTTTTATAGCTCAATAATATTACATGGTGTATGTATACCACAGCTTATTAATCCATTCATGGGTTGATGGGCACTTGGGTTGATTCTACATCTTGGTGATTGGGAATTGAGCTGCAATAAACATCCTAGTGCAAATGTCCTTATGATAAAATTACTTTTTTTTCTTTCAGGTAGATGTCTAGTAATGGGATTGTGAGATCAAATGGCAGGTCTACTTTTAGTTCTCTGAGGATTCTCCATACTTCTTTCCAGAGAGGCTGTATTAGTTTGCAATCCTACCCCCAGGGTAAAAGTGTTTGAAGAGGTCAATTTATAAAAGGTCTAATATTTAAAAGAGGGAGTATAGGTAAGCCACAGGGACTATGAAGAAATCTGGGGCTCACAGCAGCAAAGAGTCACCTCCCCTAGACCTAAGGGGAAGCAGGAGGGAAAGATTACCAGGA